AGACCCGAAACGTCAGCTTTCCTGCTCCTCTGATGCTGCTTGGCCTGCTGTGTTCATCCAGCTCTACACCTTGTCATCTCAGATTCTCCAGCATTGGCAGGTCCCACTATCTCAAAACGAAATGAAATTCTGGCTAGCGTATCGCATTAAAAAGATATACTTTACCACAAGGAACTCTGGCTATAAAGATGAACAATGTCAGTTTAAAATAAAAAAGAATTTGTGAAGTTCAATTATTATCAGTTTACATACTCTTATCATTATTCATCGGTGCCAACATTAGTTACTGTAGTTAGTGCTCCATACTACTTTCAAGTATGGTAAAAAAGGCTGCAGCTTGCCTTTGGAAAAAATACATTTTGTGGTACTGTATCCACTCTCAGTAAAATACAAGGATATGGAATGACTGTGGAGAATTCCTGCCAACAAAAATGGCCCATTGTTTGTCATCCATAACACTGTGGTAGCACTCAAACCTCCAAGTTAGAAGATCATGGGTTCAAGTCCTTCTCCAGGACCTGAACACAAAAAAAAAGACTAACAATCCAGTGTAGTACTGAGGGAGCACTGCACTGTCAGAGGTGTTCGCATTTGAATGAGATAACAAAGTAATCCCAATTGCTCTTTCAGGTGGATTTAAAAGATCCTATACCTGTTTTTTATTATCATTCATTAAAGGAACGGCCAGCATTCACTGCCCATCATTAATTGACCTGGAGAAAGTGGTGGTGAACTGCCTTCTTGAACCACTGCTGTCCTTGGGATGTAGAAACACCCACAGTGCTGGTAGAATGGGCGTCCCAGGACTATTATCCAGCAACAGTGAAGAAATGGAAATATTATTTCAAGACCAGATGGTGTGTGGCTTACAAGTACTGGTGCTCTCACGCAGGTGCCAATTAAGCAGGCTGCTTTGTCCTGGATGTTGTCAAGCTTCTTGAAGGTTACTGATGTTACACCCGTCAAAAAAAAGTGGATAGTACTTCATCACATTCCTGATTTGTGTCTTGTAGATGTTTGACAGGCATCAGGGAGAGAGGAGGCAAGTTAATTGCGACAGGATTCCTAGCCTCTGACTTGTACATTGCTTGTACAATTTCAGCTTCTGATCAATGGTACCCCCTAGGATGTTAATAGTGGAGAATTCAGCAATGGCAGTGCCATTGAATGTCAGGGGGCAATGGCTAGATTCTCTCTTGGAGATAGTGAATAACCGGCATTTCTCTGCCGTGAATGTTACTCACCACTTGCCAGCCCAAAACTGGGTATACGTGCAAGCCTTGCTGTATATAAAAATGGACTGTTTTGATATCTGATGAGTCACAATTAATACTGAACAGATATAATCATCAGCAAATATCTCCAGTTCTGACCTTACGATGGAGAAGAAGTAATTGATTAAGCAGCTGAAGTTCTGAGGAAGGGTCACCAGACCCGAAATGTTAACTCTGATCTTTTCTTCACAGATGCTGCCAGACCTGCTGAGCTTTTCCAGCAACTTCTGCTTTTGCAGCTGAAGTTGGTTGGGTCTAAGACATTTACCCGAGGAACTCTTGCGGTGATGTCCTGGAACTAAGATGATTGGCTTCCAACAAAATCTTCCTTTGTGCTAGGTATGACTCCAACCAGCGGAGAATGTTTTCTTTTTTATACCTATTGACTCCAGTTTTGCTCAGGCTCCTCGATGCCACACTCAGACAAACGCTGCCTTAATGGCAAGGGCAGTCACCTTTGGAGTTCAGCTGTTTTGTCTACATTTGCAAAGTTGTGATGAAACTTGACCTTGGCTCACCAGTCTGCCTTCTTTGCCCTTTCACCCTCAGTGCTTCCTCGAAGTGCTGTCCAACTTGGAGTAGTAGTGATACATCAGCAGAGGCAAGGGCGTGGTAAATAGTAATCAACAGAACGTTTCCTGGCCCATACTTGACCTAATACCTTGAAGTGTCATGGTATCCAAAGTCAATTTTGAGGGCTCCCATGGCAACCTCATCCCAATTGTACATCTTTGTGCCATCTCCTCTGTGGATCTGTCATGCAGTTGGGACAGGTCATACCCAAGGGCAGTGAAGGTGTGTTGACTTATATTTATCCTTCAAACAATATTACAAAAACAGATTACCTGACTGCTATCACATTTGCTGTGACAGATTTCCTACATTACAGCAGTAATCACTGTCAAGCACATTGAGCTCTCTAGCAGCCACGAAGTAGCTATATGAATGAAAATCAATTCTTTTTGTTCATTATTACTATCTTCAATGAGACTTCCATTCACCCTGTCTGAAACCTTGCACACAATCAGAATAAAAAATATTCACATTGTAAGTCAAGATTAATTCATAGCTGACAATTCACACAGAGGTGAACAGTTTAACAGTCTTAATTACTAAACAAAAATTTGCAAACACTGAGAAACTTTGAACCCAAAACTTTCCTGCTACCAATTACAGTAGTATTTCCTAACACAGTTTAAAACCATCTGAAGAGTATTTTGAATGAAGGATTTGGGATGTCGTGTTAAGGTTGTACAGGATGTTGGTGAGGCCACTTTTGGAGCACTATGTACAGTTCTGGTCATCTTGTTACAGGAAGGATATTATTAAATTGGAGAAGGATCAGAAAAGATTTACCAGGATGTTGTCGGAGCGTTTTATTTATAAGGATAGGCTGCGACTTTTTTCACTGAAGTGTAGGAGGTTGAGGGGTGACCTTATAGAGGTTTATAAAATCATAAAGGGCGTAGATAAGGTGAATAGCAAAAGTCTTTTCCCTAGGGTGGAGGAGTTTAAAACTAGGGGACGTATTTTTGAGGTGACAGCAGCAAGATTTAAAAGGGACGTGAGGGGCAACCTTTTCACATAGGGGGTGGTTTGTATGTGGATTAGGAATAGGGAAGATTTATAGAGATATGGACCAAGCACAGGCAAGTGGGATTAGTTTAGCTTGGGAAATTTGGTCAGCATGGATGAGTTGGACCAAAGGGTCTGTTTCCATGCTGTATGATTGTATGGCTCTATGTTTCCATGACTCTAGTATTGTATTTTTCAGTGGTGAGCCAGCTGTATTTCTTTTGGACTTGGGTCTTCTTTCAATGTAAATGAAAGAAGGTTTTCCTCCCTTGGGCTATAGCTCAGCAACCTAAATTAATTATCAGAGTTAGCAGCAGATCAGAAGATCACCAAATGATCTTGGCAAATTCCAAGTACACAAGCTACAAGTAAGCAAAAATAATGTATCAATCTTGGTTTGTGGTTAGGCTGCAGAATCAGCTTTCATACTTTGCAATGCAATGAGAAAATAGATGCAAAACACTAATTCTAACAGTTGCTTTTTCCCAGGCAAAGCAAGTCCCCATAATGCACTGCCTATATTTTGGCATTAATGAGCAATTTCTCCCAAAGCAGTCATAAGCACAACTGGTCTCAGATAAATCTAACTGAACAGTGGGCTTGCTTAAAATGAAAGTCAACACAGATTGTTGACTTCAGTCTATAAATTATGCAATATGTTATATCAAGCCCCTGTTGTTTTTGTTCCATGAGAAATACAATAAAGAAAATACTGTTCCATTTCACAGGACCAGACAATGTCTTTCCTTTCAAATAACACAAAATTAATATCACTTATAAAATCCTACAAAAGAAACAAGATTAAGAAGGAAGTTTATAACATGATCAACATGTATAGCAACAACTTCAGGAGATTGCAGGTTGACGTTCCCTATTGTGAAGTTCAACCTTCTAAATGCACCTCCTGTTTCCATACTGCAATGGCAATCTGCCGCTAGCCAGTGTCCCCACTGTGCTGATTTCATGTCCTCTTCCCCGATACAGTGGTAGCACACCAACTAGCCAGGTTTTATTGTCTTCATAGCCTCTTGAGGCATGAATGACATCCTCAGCATGTCATCCCATCCTGATGATGCAAGAAGGAGCACAGAGACACTAAATTCAGAAACAAAAAAAAAATCAAAAAGTGGGAGGATGGGTTGATAAGCTGATTTGAGATCACAGGCTCTTAGGTGTTAGTGTACAAACATAAAAAAGCAATACTAAATTTATATATGTCATTTGTTAGGGCACAGTTCTAATATTGTACAGTCTATAACAAATTCACTCCAAATAACACAAAAATAAGAAGTTACAAAATAAGTGAGATTTTGCATTACAGCAGATTTTCTTTCAGAGATGCTTAAAATTATGAGATACCTTGCTAAGGTAAAATTGGAAAATATTATTTCTGCAATCCCAAACTACAGGGCATGAATTGAAGATGACTATATAATAATAAAAGAGATTTTAGATTTTTTTGCATAGTGGGGTTTTAGGGAACAGTGTTGGAAAAAGAAAGCACAGTAGCTTATAAATGGGATGTGGGAACTAATTAAGAAAGAACCATTTAAAAAGGATGTTCAGAAAGGACTAGAGAATGGATCATATTAGATGGCTTTTCAAAAAACTAGTACAGGAGCCAATTCTTAAATCTATTTTAAGGCTCCAACTGGGTGAGCTCCTCCCTCCTGACTAAGATAACTGAGCAGAGAAGTGGTAGGGAAGGAGAAATGATAAATTAGGAGGAATTAAAATAAGTGCTTTAGCCTCACTTACTTTACATCCTTCACAAGTGATGACTCCATAGTGGATTCCTGAAGATTTATCTCCACAGATTTTACACGGTATCACTTCAATTTGGGCTGCATCAAGAGATCAGAAATAAAAGTAAATCAATTAGCTAATAATTTTTTAGTTCCTTCCAAATGAATTCCAATCCTAGCAAAACAAAAGCCAAGCATTTTCTAAATAGGAATTAATATTTTTCTTGTCTCCAATTGTTCATAGGAAAATTACACTTAATCATTTATCTGGGGATCACAAAATGGTAATACTGTTGTTATCCCGACATTCAAAAACCAAGTTTGAATTACTTAGCCCCTAATTTAGAGTCACAGGCGACATATAATAAAGATGCCACAGGTTAGGAAACATTTACGAATCTCATTCTGAGGCAATAGCTTAAGCCATACATCCCTTATATTTACAAGCAAGTAGCTATAGTCTGGCATGCATATTGGAATCCATTTTAAAATTAACTTTGAAATACAACCCCAATGTGTATGAAAACCTCTCTCTTTTGCCTGCAGAATTTATATTATGAAAATGCAATTTAACCACAATGTTCATAGATGGGCAACAAGGGAAACTGTGTGGCAATATCACAATACTATTACACACCTTTAGCTTGGGTAGATTTGAAGAAAGACATCTTGCCTTATGAAAATAGAAAGTAAATTTTGGAAGTAAAGTACGGAACTTCCTTTTATTCAAACATGTTGTTTAAAAAACACCACACCTAAAACCCTTCAAATTTGAGAAGGCTGCAAGCCCTAAATATGATGACATAGTTGTTACAGATTTCAGCAAATACCACAGTTTCTTGTTAGAACCAGTTCAATACTTCCACAGCAAATATATTTTCAACTAAGACAGTTTTGTTTTCAGAATATAAATATCCCTTGTGCATTATTGAAGTGATGCATGATCAGAAGTCATATGCTTTTGCTTTGTTCATTCCTGACATAGTTCTTTGTAATTTTTTTTACACACCCTATTTAGTGAAATTCTAACAGTTTATGTTCTAAAATACACAAGTCATTTTGCAAATTCCGCATGATCTCAATAGGAAATATATTTTTAACTACACTGATAAACAAGATGTGAATTATAGACTGACTATTGATTTGATTTTTGGAGGGTGGGGACACTGAAGTCAATAACAATTTTAGGCCATTGACTCAGGCACAATATTGTACTGAGATTGGGCTTGCATGGTAACAGAGTGAAGTGAGGTCAATACTAAGTGGCTGAGTATAAAGACAATCACAAGAGTCTAGCAATATAAGTAAAACATCTCAAGTGCTGGAAATTCAAGAATAAAGAGAAAATCTGAAAACACTCATCAAGTCAGGAAGCAACTATGGCAAATGAGCTTTGAATGTTTCTAGTTGTTCACTCTTCCTCAAGCAATTCCAATCCTACTGGACCTGTAGTGGTGCATACTAAACAAAAATAAGTGAACTGAATCAACTGGAATATATTCGTGTTGATTTTCTTTCTACCTGTATTTTCTGAATAACAATACCTGCATAGAAAGCCACAGGTTTTTGAATACCATTGGGGTGTTGAAAAGATGCAATATAGATGCTTCCTTTTCCTCCAGTCACTTGGACCATTCATTAATTGACAGCTCAGCTAAATTAATCCAGTCTTAGCAACAATAGCTGTGCAGGTTCTACATTTGGTCTCAGATTGGGAAGGAAAAATGTAACAAAAATGTTGTTGCTGCTAATTTCAAGCCTATTACCAGTTTGATGGAGGTTCTGAATGAAAGGATACACTACCTGAAAGGACGGAACTATTTACAAAGTTAACTAGCCATGGGGCATGATGAGATAAATTCAATAATCAACAGTTTAATGGTAGTGGAATCAAAAGTGCAGGCTGGAGTTTGTATACTTGGTGGTGATGTAAAAGGAAAAGGGAAAGAAAGTAAGAGAAGATGTGGGTTCAGAGGCATTGGGTTCCAGCCATTGGAGGTAGAGGACTACTTTTTCAGGTTCACTTGTTATCTTTAGATTGCTTTTAAGCAACTGCATTAACACCTTACCTTGTGGCCAAAACTTTCCCATATGCTTTTCTACTCAAAAATTACAGATAAGCCTGTGGGCACAGGTGCAAGGACAGATATCTTGCAACTGATTCTTGATAGATAGATCGATTGGTTTTATTTCCTTACATTGAAATTATTTAAGATCACTGCAATGGCTATCAGCTCAACTCTGGATTTGGAAAAGAACAGTCGACTCAATTGTAAATCTAATTTTTATAAGCATGTCTGGCAATGTTCTATAGCATTCTGAAAGATAAAATCTAACTGGAAAGGTTGATTATTTGTGTTCAGAAGCAGCATTCTATAGATAATTTCAGACATATTTTGAAAATCCTATTAATCCTCTTCTTTCAGATACCACACCCTAAGAAGGTGCTGACAGCCATAGACAGTCATTGCATTGGCCAGGTCAATGCTTGGAAAAGTGGTTTCTATAACCTTCTGTGGGAAATTCTCTCACTCTTACAATTAGGCAAATTGGAAGGATATACAGGCTGGTAATCAACATCTTCTTTGTTTCAAAAATATACTTTATTCATAAAAGTATCTTTATATACATATACAGTCACTGAAGCAATTTGATCCTGCATAGTAGCATATGAAGAAAGAAACAAACGTTTGAGTTTGACTCTATCCAGCAAACAAACCAAAGACATTTCTTACACATTTGCATACATTTGAGGCAGCGGGAGCGTCCAATAACTAAACAGACTCCTATTTAACTTTGGCTGAAAGACCTTAGATGGTGGTCTTTCCCCACTGTAGCTTGTTTGCAGCTGCCTCAAGCTTTAGTGCATCCCTCTGCATGCAGTCCTGGACCTTGGAATGTGCCAGTTTGCAACACTCGGCTCTGGAAGATCAACAAGTTTCAGGCAGACCAGAGAGCGTCATCAATGTATTTGGATATGTTACGAGCACACTTCCTGTGGCTTTCCAGCCCAGAGGTAAGGATGTGTCCTGCATCACAAGACTTCCATGCTACTAATTGTCTGGTTTTGTTATAGATTTTGTGCTAGATTTTATGACACATAAAATATGTTTGGGGGCTAGATCACTGCCTCTCTGCCCATCCCTGACCTGATCCCCTTAAACGGTAAGTGAATGGATGCCAAGATTGATTGGCTTTATTCTCCACAGGACATTGGTGAATCAGATGGATTTTGCTACAATTGGAACATTTCAGCATATCTTTTTCTTGTGCCTGCAACAAGTTTATCAGATTTGTAAATTTAAATTTTGCAATTTGGCACTGGGAGAGTTCAACCCATGACGTTTTGGCTGTTAGACTTGTATCATAGACAAAGCATGGCAAGTGAGATTACGAACAGCAAAACAGCAAGTATTATCTCCATGGGCCTGCATTATTGAAGGACCGCACCTTACTGTAGAATCAAAGGCATTTAATCATGTAATAAAGGCAGAGAACGCAGGAAATGCTCAGTAAATCAGATGCATCTGCGTTTAGAAATGTTGAGTTAGCAGGTGGAATCTTGATTCCTGACACCAGTGTGGCCTCTTATTGTTGAGGCCCAGCAACTCAGGAGTCAATGAGGTAGTGGGAAGGCCAGCAACAGACCTTTCACAGGAATCAGAATTCGGGACTGATGGCTGTTGATTGGAAAGCAACTCTTTTACTCAGCAGCACCTGGTTCTGGCTGCTCCTGGACTGAAATGCACTGGAGTGCCAGACTCACTCAGCAACCCAACCCACAATACTTCAAATGGGTAGTGTTGGGGGGGGATGGGTTTTCAAGGGGTAGGGGTGGCAGAGAGAATGTGGGGGGAGGGGGCCTTTGAAGAAAATCAGCAAGGGCAGGGGTGTTGCTCTCAGCAAGCTAACCCCTCTTTCTGATGTTGAGACCATCAATCAGACACTGAGTGCTTTGCATCGAAGGTCACACATCCCCATTCCTGGAAGATGATAAGCTGGATGCATAACTTTAGTTCCTGTACATGCCACACAATTTCAGCCTGCCTACAGCTGGGTGAATACCAATAGCGTATAAAGCCTTTATTCGTTGGCAAATTGGTGACAGGGTGAGAGTTCCAACCATGCACCTTTGCATCCTTGACCCAATTCTGGTAGACGTGGGAAGATGGTGGGCTTCAGGTATACCATCATCTCGTTAATTCAATGCTTTCCCAGCATTCGGAGCACAGCTCAAGAACAGGTGCAATGTTCTGCTCAATGTCTCAGAGGTCTGTGAATTTTCATCAACCCTGAAATAGAATGTTTCTCAGTTTCTCACTCCTGCTTCATTATATGACCAAAATTTCTGCCTTATGTTTGGAATACAGTTTTACTCTGGTCACCAAATAGCACATTCTGAAATAGCAATCCTAGCCATAATACATAAGGTGCTGGAGTACAGACTACACCTAATGATTCAGTATGTCCATCAGACCCTGGTGGCAGCTCAACATTTTGCTGTAGCTGCAAACCCTCTTAAAATAAAGCTAAAAGAATTTTCTGTCACGTCTTTCTAAACTGAAATTTGCATGTCAAGAACATAAGAACTAGAAGCAGGAGTAGGCAATTCAGTCCCTTGAGCACATTTAATTTGATCATGGCTGATTTCACCTCAGCCTCAACTTCAGTTTTCTGCCCAATCTCCAAAACCCTTTAACCCACTACAAATTAAAAATCTATCTCCTCCTTAAACTTACTCAATGTCCCAGCATCCACCACACTCTGGGGTAATGAATTCCATAGAATTTGTTAATGTTGTGTCCTTTTCTAACTGATTTCAGTTCTTTATAGCCACCAATCATCACTAATTGGCATTTTTAAAAAAAAAAATCCACAGAATTCATTCAGCAGTACGTTGAGCACTGTACTTAAAAAAGGCAGTTCAGGTTAGTTAAGATCGTGCCCAAGGTCCCAAACTGGCCCTGAACAACTTCATTGGTAATCCCACAGGTTACATCCTAGATGAACAGGAAATGTCATCAAGCAAATTTCAAGAAAATCTAAAACTACCCGTCAGTTCAGGTATGTAATGGTATAATCTATAGAATGCAGCATTT